ATGAGGATAGAAGAGTGGTGTTTAGGCAGGATAGAAGAGCGGTGTTCAGGCTTCTATTCTCAAGCAGATGCCAGCTCTACTCTCAGTGTCAAAGACTCTAATGGTACGTGGTCTGCAGCAACTAATTTCCTAAAAGAGCTACCTTCTACATTTGGCCAGGAAATAAGCTTACTGCAAAATCTACTTTGGAACAAAGAGAATATAAATAAATAAATATATTGAATACCTAGATTTTTTTCCCCTCTCCAGTCCTGTCAATGCTCTCCCCCCTACTCCACACCCAGAATTTAAATGTTTCATCTTTTCCAGTTGTTTTATTAAATGAGATCTTAGTATTTTTAAGATGTGTCAAATTCTTCCCCTCATTTCCTCTTCCCCCGCTGTACTGGGGATTGAACCCTGGGGTACTCTACTGCTGAGCTACATACCCCACCCTTTAAACTTTTATTTTAAGGCATGGTTTCACTAAGTTGCTAAGGCTGGCCTTGAGATCCTACTGCTTCAGCCTCCCAAGTTGCTGGTACTACAGGCATTTGCCACCACACAGGCCCTCCTATAGCATTTTTTAAAACAACCTCCACTTCATAATGTTCGTGACTTGAAGTCAGAATCAGCCTAGGCATGGTGGGGACTGTTCGTCCCTACTCCCGGATGTCTGGAGCCTCAACTGGATTGGATTGATCTAGCAACTGGATATGGCTGAGATGGTTGAGCAGGGGCCATATTTCTGAAGTGCCAGTACTGGCTGTCCCTAGGTTCCTCTGTTTTTTTCCTTGTCAATCTCTGAGGTGGGAAAGTCTACGGTGACTTCTTCTCTGCATGTCATGCAATTGGCTTGCTAAGTCTTAGATTTGTCATCACTTTTAATGGGCTGTTAAGAAAGAAAAATGCATTATTTTTCTTTTTCAATGGGGAGTGGTGGGAAACAGAAGTAGGCAAACTCTCAGAGCCCTGTGGCTGAGAGCATGACCTCTGCAGTCTAACCAGGCTGGGTTCAAGTTCTCTTTGCCACTTTTTAGATGTGTAGTGTCAGCCAGTTACTTGCCCTGAGTCCTGGTTTTTCACCTGTAAAATGGGGGTAATAATGATATCCTTAGCACATGGGGCTGTTCCCAGTCTCTGGCCAGACCAAATTTGATTTCTTAGATCTCCATGATTTGGAAATGTCAGGATACCAAGGGTCAGAGATGAGTTCCAAATTTAAGTCTTATGTACTATCTGGTATCCAAGTAACCCTTTTCCCTACTGGTCCTTGGGCTTTTTAGTAGCTAGAAGGAACATATATTTCTGCAGGTGCTCTCCAAAACACTTGCCATAGGTTAAGTCTATTTTGTGATGCCCCACATATTAACTGAGAACACAGAAAAGAATTATTAAAATGTACACATTATATATCACATTTCCTAGTGATTATTTTTTATAGCAAAACTTAGAATGTATGGTTACAACAAGTTTGTCTTATGTAAAATGAAATTATTACATAAAACATGATTTAAAATGATTATTGTTGTTTGGGGGGAGTATAGAGTACTAGGGATTACACTCAGGGATATTCAACTTCTGAGCTACTCCCCAGTTTTTTTTTATTTTTTATTTATAAAATTTTGAGACACCATCTTGCTAAGTTGCACAGGCTGGTTCAGAACTTGTGCTCCTCCTGCCTCAGCCTCTTGAGTGGCTGGGATTACAGGTGTGTGCCACTGTTCCTTTACCCAAATGCAATCTTCTTTAATTGTTGATAAACTAATACCTACAAAAATCCCATGATGTGGTAATATGCAAGTCCCTCAGGGAAGCCTTCCTCTGGGACCAAATGCCGGCTTGACTCCATCACAACTTCTCCAGGGAAGTTGGTGGAATAAATGTACTATTCTCTGTTGCCTGCTTTCTCTCTCTCCTTTTTTTTAAATTTTGATTTTAATTTTTTAAAAATTTATTTGTGTTTTTTAGATAGACATGACAGCAGAGTGTATTTTGACATATTCTACATATATGGAGTATAATTTCTCGTTCTCACGGTTGTACGTGATGTGGAGTGACACTAGTGGTGTGATCATGTATGAACATAGGAAAGTTATATCTTATTCATTCTACTGTCTTTCCTATATCCATCCTCCCTCCTTCCTCTTTGTCTAATCCAATGAACTTCTGTTCTTTCCCCTCCCTGCCATGCTTATTGTGTGTTAGCAGCCGCATTTCAGAGAGACATTCAGTCTTTGGTTTGGGGGGATGAGGTTGCCTGATTTCATGGCAAGATGTGCCAAGGTCTACGTGCCCTTCTCCAAAAGTATCAAGGGAGGAGTCTGCAACATCTGCAAACTCTGCTTAGTGATCTTTTGGGTAGAAATCATGCTCTGCTGGCATTTTATGTTTCTATAAAAGAACAGAGAGAAACCTGCCCCTCCGTCTTCAATGACATGGGAGACCTATGATTAAGGAGCAATTGTGATGAGGGAAAAGGAATGAACAGGATCAGAAACGTATATATTCCCTCACTGGCAACCTAACAGGGTTTTCACTGAAAGCCAAATAATCATGGAGTAAACAATGCTAATTCTTAGGCTCAGAATAATTCCATCATCAATTGAAATAAAGCAGTACTAATAATGATCTGGACAATTGATGATCCCCTACCTTCAGGCTGTGGGCTGGAAGCAGTGCTTTTCTGAGCCATAATGGAGCATGAAGCAAAAGGAAAATCAGTAATACTTGTCCTATATTTATTGAAATTGTTGGCTTCTTGTTTATTGCAGATTTTTACATAACTTTTTATTTTTTTAGGATAGTGCTCTAAACTATTATTTGATTGCTGAGTTTTTGTGGTGCTTCTTAACTTTGGTGACTGTGGCAAGTGCCTCACTATCTCACTCTAGTCTGGGCTCTGTGCCTGGAGCAATGTGAGTGGTATGTGAATATTGTTTTGGTCTGTGCTCAAAAGTAAATAAAGAGATAATTGAACTCAAACTCATCTCTGACCCTTGGTGCCCTGACATTTCCAAATCATGGAGATCTAAGAAATCATATTTGGTCTGGCCAGAGACTGGGAACAGCCCCATGTGCTAAGGATATCATTATTACCCCATTTTACAGGTGAAAAACCAGGACTCAGGGCAAGTAACTGGCTGACACTACACATCTAAAAAGTGGCAAAGAGAACTTGAACCCAGCCTGGTTAGACTGCAGAGGTCATGCTCTCAGCCACAGGGCTCTGAGAGTTTGCCTACTTCTGTTTCCCACCACTCCCCATTGAAAAAGAAAAACAATGCAGTTTTTTTCTTTCAACTTTTAGTAACTTTATCTTTTTCCTCTTAGAGAAGTACTATATAGCCATTGTAGAGAAATTGCAAAATACATATGAACCAAAGAGATAAAAATAAATCAAAATCCTACCCCAAGAGCCACCTGCTATTAGTATTTTGTTGTATATTTCTCTAAACTTTAATAAAAATAAATTGTGATTTTAAAATGAAACAATGCTACCCATATGGTTTTTGTAATTTGTTTTCTTTGCTTAACAATGTGCCTTGAACATTTTTCTCTGTCATTGCCTTTTTTGCAGAGTAATGTATAATGACTGCACAGTATGCATTCATCTACTCATGAATATTTATTAAGGGCCTGCTTGTCTCCAGGCATTGAGCTAGGCTCTCAAGATATGTCAGTTCACAAAATAAAGAAACTGGCCCTTTGGGGTTGATATTTAAGTAGAGGGAGACCTTTAAAAAGTAACATAAATAATAGATGAATAAATGTGCCAGTTAACAGGGGCACTATTTTATATGGAATGGTCTAGGAGTCTCCCCTGGTAAGAGGCTGTTATGGGCTATATTGTATCCCTCCCCCAATAAGATTTGGATACTGAAGTCTTAACCCCCAGTACCTAAGAATGTGACTGTATTTGAATGAGGATCTTTATGGAGGTAATAGTTAATGAGATCGTTAGGGCAGGTTGCAGTCCAACAAGAGTGGTGTCCTTGTAAGAGGCAGTGTGGATACAGACACATAAAAGACCCTGAGGAGATACAGAGACAAAAAGGGAAGACTGTATCTATAAGCCAAGGAGAGAGGCTGGAGTGGATCCTTCCTTCATGGATCTCAGAAGAAACGAATCCTGCCAGGATCTTAATGATAAACTTTCAGTTTACAGAATTGTGAGGTCATACCTTTCTGTCTTTTAAGCCATTCAGACTGTGGTACCTCTGTTTTGGCTGCCTGAGCAGATTAATAAGGGTTGGAGAAAGAGACCCAATTGATATGAGAGGGTGTGAGCCCTGTGGGTTCTGGGGAACAGACGGAAAACAAGGCTTAGTAGTTTGTCAAGAGGCCATGTGTCTGGGAGGATAAAGGAGATGGGGTCAGAATGAGAAGCAGATTTCACCAAGTCCTTAAGTCTCCCAGGCCTTCAGAAAGATGTCAGGGGGTAGGGAAGAGGAAGCTGCTGGGCAGCTATTGGCCATGACGTATTTTACGGAGATGTTTGTGTGGGGTCCAGATTAAAACTTTATTAGTCAATTAAATTATCTATCAGTTTCTTTTAAAGGTTTGGGTTGAGAAGTGGGGGGAGAGGCTTCTGGAACACTGGCCCCAAGCTCTAAGGCATCTTTGAGAGAGAGAGAGAGAACTTCTTTTTAATATTTATGTTTTAGTTTTCGGCGGACACAACATCTTTGTTTGTATGTGGTACTGAGGATCGAACCCGGGCCGCATGCATGCCAGGCAAGCGCGCTACCTTGAGCCACATCCCCAGTCCCTCTAAAGCATCTTTATAACCCCACCATCCATCCACTTGACCACCCTAATAAACTGGATAAGCCATCATTTTAAACCAGGATTAGACCCTTCCTTGAGTCCTTCTCCATAAATTTATTCAGTAGGACCTCTCTTCCCCTATTTAAAGGCCAGCTGGATAATGTCCTTTCCTTTCCCTTACATCCATTCCATCTCCCTGGATCTTATACCCAGGCTCCCAGTCCCCAGATCTTTCTGCTAACTGGCACCAACTGCCATCTGCCAAGATTCCAGTGCTCACTTGCACCCTCTCCTCCCCCACTCCTCATTCCTGTCTTCCTCTGGGGCAAAGCAGAAATGTAAGCCTTCTCTGATAACTACAAACCAAATTTCAGGGATGCAGACAATCTCCACCAGTTAAGTTGGGGAACAAAATCATGAGCGCTCTGCCCTTCTTGGAAACTGTTATCAAATCAGAGGTCATGGCCATATAGGAAATAACACAGCCCAGGGTTGGACCCAACTCTGACCAACATGCTTCCCTTGGAAGACTTTGTTATTCTCCCAACCATTCTTATGCTACTGATGGATCTTCTTATGGACAGAACCCTCAGCAGTATCTTTTTTTAAGGGTATTTTTTCTTCCTTTTCCTCAAAGTCCTCCAATACCACCTACCCATACAAGACCTAGTAACTCTATCAAGATACTCTTGTCCTTTTGCTCTGGGCTGCTTTTTACTTTATCCATTGAAAACAGGATCAAACCCAGGGCACAGTGGAAAAAATAAATAAAATGGATGACATTAGTAAGTATGTCAGGTCAACTCAGGCTCCTGGATTTATGACCACAGAAGAAAGTTGACATTAAAAAGACAGGCAGTGGTGCTTCTCTATATGAGCTGGGCAGTCTAGGTGCAAATGCCCTAAGATAAGAAGGACAACCCCACCAAGGCCTTAGGCCTGAGGCCTGAATGCTGCAAAGGGCCTCAGTGCCCCATGGTCATCCTTACAGCTACAGAGAAGCCCTGGTTGGTTTGAAGAAGGAAGACGTAAACAGTCAACTGTATCTCCTTACAGGGCTTCTGTCATGCTCCATGAGCCAATTTCTTAATAAACCCCCTTATAACTCCCTTATCACTTCAGGAATGACATAATTTACATTGAACTGAATGTGTGTTGGAATTGTTGACATGTTACTTATTGAGATCTAAAATAGCCAGCAAGTTTCATAGCTTGTTTTCAGCATATCTTTCTCCTTTGGGGATTTTGTTTAGTACAGAAGTGGCCAGTACCTCTCTTGACCTCTGAAAGGTCCTACGAAAATCTGAAACCAAGGCAGGGTGACAAAGACTGGTCATTCAGCACTAAGGGCCTCCTCGTGTTACTTCTTAGGAAAAGAAAATGTTGCTGCAAAAGACCCAGAGGCACAAATGTTCTTCCCAGGCCAGTCAGCTTCTGAATCCTTCAATGCTTAGCTTAATTTACACATTAGGAAATTTTCTAGACTAGAAATATCTGATCAAAAATGAACCAAAATCGCAAATGTGAACCCATATCTTCCCAGTTGGGCATGAGTCAAATGGGCCTCTGGAGTGAGGTGAGCAATGAAAGGGATGTTTATCCCACAGAATCATCTCAAAATCAGATAGAAAGTGAGGAAGAAATTGGTGTGTCCTTGCTGCATATGTTACCAGATTCTCAAGCTTATTTTCCTATGCAATTCCAGTCTACCTTATTAGGAATGTTTGCAGGACTATAGTTGAATCTTTGTAGCTGCCGTTACTAATCAGAAACTAACATGCCCACGTGGTCAGCATAGAAAGGACAGCATAAAATCTCTCAACGCTTCTCTTCCGTAGTAATGCTGTCATCTGGAGTCTGAGGGATCCTGACCCCGTCTGTATGTAGTTTTAAATTCCCCAGTGATGCCAAATATATTCATGTCAACAGATACTGTTCCAAAATACCAGCGTTCAATTTAGCTGAATACCAGGAGACTGACTCAAACTACTTTGAAGGAAATAAATATGTCTTTAACTCATATAACAAAGTAGTGAAAACTCATAAAAAATCTACTTTCCAAAGGAAAAAACATTAAAGTAAGAATTTCCAAAAAAGGCTCATAAATTGTTTTCTTTAATTATGTTGTTATAACTTTTTAATTCACATGTTAATTAGCCATATGTGAAAATGCTCTTTTTTTTTTTACCAACTCATGATAACATCTAGTTCATTACAAAAACTAAATCATTATGAGAAATGTAGAAATCCATCATATACTACACAACTATTAGGTAGAGTTTGACTTTTTTTTTTTTATAGTCCTGTAGATTGAACCCAGGGCTCATGCATGCTAAGTATATTTTCTATCACTGAGCTACATCCCAGCCCCTATTCAGCATAGTGAAATACTGATAATCATGTAAGAATAACCATGAAAGTCATGTCTCTCTTTGATAGGAGCTAGAAGCTTTGCTGAACACTTTATGATTGGCATATATAAACTTCTCAACAACTTTATGAGATAGTAAAACAATTTGTTAATTAATGTCCTAGTGATTATATGGCTAAGGTTTTTATTGAGAGCTTACTGGGTGCCAACTGCTATTCTTAGTGCTGTATATGTATTATTATTTCCTTCATCCCTCATAATTTTTTACAAAGCAGTGCTTTCATTATTCCTATTTTAGGGATAAAGAAACGTGGTACAGAGTTGATGTGGCCTGCCCAAGATCACATAGCTGTTAAGTGACAGAGCCAACACACTCAAACTTGGGCAGTTTGGCTCTCAGCTCAATCCCTTCCTTGCTAAATAGTTGCTCAACACTAGCCACATTGTCTTTGAGACCTTTGTGTACAGGCACTGTATAAGATGATCCTCATGTTGTATATGTTAACCAGCTTTCTCTCTCTGGGACAAAATACCTGAGAAAAATAACTTAGAGGAGGAAAGATTTATTTTGGCTAGTAGTTTCAGAGGTTTCAGTCCATGGTTGGCTGGCCCCATTGCCACGGGCCTGTGAAGAGGCAGAACATCATGGCAGGGGGTGCAGGTGGAGGAAAGCTGCCCAGCTCATGATGGCAAGAAAGCAGAGAGCAGGGGAAAGGAAGGGGCCAGGGACTAGACATAGTCCCCAAGGACACACCCCCAAGGACCCACTTCCTTCAACTAGGCCCCACCTCCTACAGTTCCCACCACCTCCTTCTAGTCCATTCCATCATGAATTAATTATTTGATGAGTTTATTGCCCTTATGATCTAATCACTTCCTCCTAAAAGTTTCAACTCTGAACATTGCATTGAGGATCAAGCCTTCAACACAAAAGAGCCTTTGGGGCACCTCCCAGATCCAAACCATAACCCTGTGTGAATTATTTCTCCACGAGGAGCTCATTGTTCTCCCAATTCTTAAGATGAAAGAAACCCTTACTGACTTAGTATAAACATATCCAAAAGATCAAATGAAGTAAACCAATACTCCATCACCTTTGCACCTAACCGGTAAACTTGCTTTGTCAGTTTAAGTGCTACGTGCTCAGGGTTTAGAGCTGGAATTTAAAACCAGCTCTTGCATAAATCCCGAGCTCATACTCTTTCCACCTTATTGTCCAGGAAGAGTTGGTATGGCTTCTATGGTGCAGAAGACTGACTCCATGGGAAAAGAATAAATACTGTGAGAATCCACTTAGGTCATGAAATAGGAGAAACCAGCGAACAGTGTGCACACATTAAATCCAGGACTAGACACACCTGTGATGGTCTCATAAAGGAGTCTAAGGAAGAGCAGGGTAAGTTGCCATCGTCAGGAAACCAGCCCTGGAAGGCATCCTTCAGTTTCAGTTGTAGGAAATCCAACTCTTCATGGGCTTGTCCAGGCTGGAAGATAAGGGGTTGGAATCTATCCCCATGGTTTCTTGTATTTGTTAGTTATTTGTTTAGACTAAAGTTCAAAAAGACTCAAATGACAGGCAAATGGTGGAAGCTCAAAAAAAAATCTATTCTTGTGATGTGGAAATCAGTTTGTAGTTTTTCCTGTTATTCATTTTGAATTTCCTCTTCCTTACCATTGAATGCTGTTTAAGAAATTACTTTGGTATTAAGTTGCAGTGGTTTCTATCTTCTTAAAGCAACTTTTGACATTCATTCATAGCCTAAGCTTTTGGCAGAGAGCTTTCAAAAATGTGGAGAGGGTTCCAGCCTAGCCTAGTTCACTGTGCAAAACATTTCTCCTGTAAAATGGTGTTTCATTTTTCTGAATGGTATACACGTTACCACTTTTCTTTCTTTTCTCAGAAATGAGTCCCATTACACAGTAAGCTGTTGTCATTTCTGTTTTCTAAAGTCATCTCAGTCTGTTCCATTATTGAATTACACTACTTGAGTCCACAATCAGGGCTCACTATGAATAACGCCCCCTAGGGTTAGTCAGTGCACAAACACACAACCACAGGCAGTGGCCCTGTAGTTAGAGCTCTGCGCAGGAACTGAGCACTGGAGGAAAGAATTTAATAACGGAAACTACTGTCCTTTTGATTCTTCCCCCCACCCCTTCTCTATCTACAACCATCTGCCTTATTTCTTTGCACCATGACTTTATTTTCTCTGAGCAGAACCTAAACAGAGAAACTATACATCTATGTATGTGCACAAGACAAATGAGAAATCATGCTGATCTTGAAACAGGTTCAACTTAATTTAATGTTTTAAGATTTAAGTTGCCAGGGAAATTTTTGCTATAGAGTACATTGGTTTTATTTGATCACAGGGTTGGTGGTGTTTTCTTAGTTGAAAAAATATAAAGAGCTGGCATTTGTAAAGATGCTCTGTTAAGTGTATGTTCCACTTGAGCAGACATTTTGGAAAGGCCAATATAGTTTTCAAAGGTAGTTACCAAAGTTGCCATCAAATCCAGAATTATCATTTGGGAGCAAGTTTGGGATAGTGATAATTTGATTTTCCTGACTGGTTTAGTGCAGACATATTCTAGAGATCAAATGAAAACAAACCAATACTCCATCACCTTTGCTCCTAACCAGTACACTAACTTTGTGAAATCTTTAAGTGCCCATCAAATTTCTTCAAATTAGGGTTTTTTGCTGTCTTAGAACATATAAGCTGAACATAAAAGGAAGCTGAATTCTTTGATGTTCTTTTATACTTTTTCCCTTTTTTAATAAATGTGCAAATGCACACACACACACACACACACACACACCAAATTTTCTCCAGTGCATGTGATGACTTTGATAATTAAAGAAAAAAGAAAACCACAATAATAATTGTATAGAAAAAAATTGGCTTACATATAGGATATACTCAGTAAATTTAGCTCAATTGAAAAAAATACTTTTGAATACATAAGTCAAAACATGTCTCTTGACTTTAAAAAAATCATAATATAGCCTAAGAACATAATTCAACCCACAAGTATTTATTGCAGTTATAACAGTGAACAAAATAGAGGCAAACTAAATATACAATAATGAGAATTATGAAATAAATGCTATATCTATCCATGAGGAAATATTGTGCGATTATTTAAATTATGATTATAATAAGTTATAAGGACATAAAAATACACATGATACAAAGTTTATAAAATTAAAAGATACACTGAATTACATTTTTTTTGAAAGTTTAGCTTCTAAGGAAACGTGGCACAGGAAAAGGTATCGGAAAGAAATATATTAAAACATTAATAGTGTTTTTGGATATTGAGAATATGGTTTTTTCCTTGCCTCTTTTCCATGTTTTAGTATTTATTTTGAATAATAAAGATTATTATTTTGATAATTGAAAAAAATAAAAATTATAAAAAACATTTCTTAGGGAAACTTTATTCAGATAGCAGCTCAAACAATAAAAAGTTTATGAATTTCCAATCTAAATCCATTGGGTAGCTTTCAATACAAAATGTGACTCTCCAGTGAGAGTCACATAATTAAGTTTCCATAATTCCTGTAGGTAATTCACTCTAAAGTCTAACCAATCAAAAAAATTTGAAGCCTACCTTCAGTTTTCTAGTTTCAATTTGACCCCTCTATCCATCAGTGACCCTGTAGGAATATGTATAGTTATGTCATATTTGAACACTTCTTTTTTTTTAACTATACCTCATATTCATTTGATCTTTTCCTCTTTGTGTTCATTTACTTGATTGTCTTTGTTTATTATCTATTATCTCAAGTTCTTGGGGGTGCTAATTCTCTCCCTCCCTCTTTCCTAACTTCCTCAATGTATCACTTCCTCTGTAATTTTCAATTGTAAGCATATCTTTAGAAGGTCCATCTACCTTGAGTTATAAGGGTTTCCAAAATTTTTTGTTTACATCTTACTGGAGCTCTCGTGGATTCCATACCACCCAGGACCCATTTTTATGTTGATTTTTAGGCTTGTGTTCTCATACCATGTGAGCAGTACAAATTCAGATTTTTTTTTTTTTTTGTACTAGGAATTGAACTCAGGGGCACTTTAACACTGATCCCCATCCCTATCCCCTTTTTATATTTTATTTAGAGGCAGGGTCTCACTGAGTTGCTTAGCACCTCACTTTTGCTGAGGCTCGCTTTGAACTCGGGATACTCCTGGCTCAGCCTCCAGAGCTGCTGGGATTACAGGCTTGCGCCACCACCTTGGTTAAATTCAGACCTTCTACCTTCACTTGAGCTCCATTTCTTTGAGCTCCCTCCACAAAGGGCACATGCTTCCTTTAGGCCACGGGTGTGGTAGTCTAGTGCTCTTTTCACACAGGGACCAGCACCGAAGCAGAGGTCCTGATTCCAGCTCCCTAACTCAGTGGGGAGCCCTCAGTGACTGACCTTCATCCTTGAAGGAATGCTAAAATGCTACTTGGAGGCCATCAGGACCTGTTTGAGAAGGTTACCCCCAGGCTTCTTTAGTATCATCCCTTATACATATTGCTCTACTTTTGAGTTTTATCTTTTCTTTTGGTGCCTAGACATTTCTTTTTTTAAAGGCTTTGTGTGTGTGTGTGTGTGTGGTGTGTTTTTAATGTTGTTGTATTTGATCCAGAAATTTTGTTGTTTGCAGTGGGCGGAATTCTAGGGGACCCCTGAATTTGGGAGTGGAAAGGCTTACCTCATCTGGACTCAAGGAATGTTTTAGACAAGACCATCTCAGACTGCAGCTGGTGGAACTATCCATTTTGAGGGATTCCACAAGAGATTAGTCATTAACAACGGAGCATCTACATGTTCAAAATTTTTACTTTTTCAAATAAATTCATGGCTCTTCCGACATGACACCAATTCTTTATTCTGCTGAAATTATCTCAGGATGTCATCTTTTGCATGTGTTGAGATGGGCACCAAAGCTAAGAAGTTAGGCTGCACTGTATTCATGATCCTCTTAGGCACCCTCTGAAGACACCCTTAACCTTCAAACATTAAATATCAATTATTAAAAAGCAAACATTGTGCTTCATAATCACAAGGAGAAAACTAGATTTCTTTCTGCATCTTTCCCAGGATTATCCCCATGATATATACTGAAGTGTAGTTTCACTCAAATGAGACATCATTGGTGAAATACATGTTATTGCTGCCCCATTACCATAGAAAGAAATGAGTTGGGCTTCTTCCCTCATCACACTTTCAGTCCTGACCCTGCAAAAAGACTCAACAGAGCAAAAATGAAGCCTACTTTAATGGGGTGTCCCTAACCTTGTGCCTCTTCTCCAAACAGCTACTTTTTTTTTTTTTCTTTTTGGTAGCAGGGATTGAACTCAAGGGCACTTTACCACTGATCTACATCCCTAGCCCATATATATATGTATATATATATATGTATATTTGTAGGTGGACACAATACCTTTATTCCATTTTTTTTTAATGTGGTGCTGAGAATCAAACCCATTGCCTCACACATGTTAGCTAAGCACTTTACCACTAAGCCACAACCCCAGCCCACTCCCCAGTCCTTTTTTAATATTTTATTTATATTTTATTTAGGGACAGGTCCTTAGGGACTCGATAAGTTGCTGAGGCGGGCTTTGAGCTCATGTTCCTCCTGTCTCAGCCTCCTGAGATGCTGGGATTACAAGCCCGCACCACCAGGCCCAGGCCATCAGCCACTCTGGCTCTGGAGGTCTCCAGTGTTTCTGCCCATTTTGTCCTTATTGTTGGTTAAAAAAATAATAATAATCAGGGGTTAGATACAAATAAGCACAACCCAGGAGGTAATTGAGTGGTAGTTCTGATTTTTATCTACAGAACTTAAGTGAGTTTTCTTTGATTACATTAAACCTAAAAGAGTAATTTTTTAACCTAAATTTTTTTTTTCCTGCAGAGAACATTACCAAATTTTCATAAGCTCTTGTTGTCACCTGTCACCTCAGTGTCTTTAGGAAAAGTCCTCTAAGGAAAGGAGAGGGAGTTCTAACTCCTTTTATTTCACGGCAGAAGCTGCTCAGTGATGACATCAGGGCTAGAGGCCCCTAAGCCATGGCACCCGCAGCCTGTCCACTAGGTGAACCTGGGACAGTGAGGCAAGCACTGTTCTGAAACCTTCCTTAACTCAACCCTCCCTTTTGCAGCCATGATCTTGATTTTGCAATTCTCTCGACACGTTCTTTCTCTCAGCTCCAAAGATGGGCCTAACCTTCTCATTCTAATTTCTCTACGTGTCCGTTCCAGCACTACTAGAATTCTCACACACGTCTTACCACCATAAATCATGCTCCTGTTGTTTCTAAAATGAACCTACATGAGCTTTCACATGATCCCACTGCACATTTATCTCTGCCTGTGTTGACCATTGGCCACAATCTCCAAAGCTATAACTGATAAACCAGTGTGATTCATGCAGGAATGGTTGGAATGACTGTGACAAATCTTTGGAAAGACAAACATTACTTTGTACCTCACTTGTGATGGGAAAATAGTCTAACATGCAAAAGGCAGCTGAATTTATTAGGTTGATGTAGTAATACTGTAATTCCTAATATATGGGATTTTCTCACCATCTGATAACAGCTATATTGCATGTAAGCCCTTGTCATTTATTGCTTTCTAGGACTATAAAAACAGGAAAAAAAAAAACCAACATGTTTTGCCTACACTGGATGACTTGAATTTGTGTTTTATTTAACCAGAAATGTGCCCTCTAACCATGGCACTTCAGTTTATGGTCCGTCATAGTTGGTTTGACAGAAAATTTTAAAAAAACATGATTAAAGGGAGCTCAGGAAATTGAGCTACTTCCCAAAATTAGAGTTTCTGATTTGGTTATCTATTTTAGGCCCAAATTCTGCTTGAGTTTTTATTTTTGTTCTATGACTTGATGAAACTTATACAAATTAAGTCAAAAGGGCAAACTAGGTGATTTTAAAAGGTGAAAGTCTATTCATATTGCTTTGCTTCGGCCCTCACGAGAGGATCTGCCCAGGATTACACCCAGATGCACGAGAACTAGAAGCAGAGGCAGACAAGAGAGTATAAAGATGGAAGTACCTCTGTTGGCAAAAGAAAACAGAGAGGAAAGAGGCTTGGTCCTCAGCTCTGCCACCATCCTGCCCACAGAAACAGTGGCATAGTATTCTCTCAAAGAGAACAGAAGAGAAAGGATGTACGAGTAATGTCACTGAAGGGTGGCTGGCATGTACTATGGGGACAATCTACAACAGACTAAAATGAAGAGTAACTGAAACTGGCAGTTTCAGGGGGGAAAAAAAGATATATATTTTGCTACACTTAAAAGATATATTACACCTGATTTTAAATTCCTCTCCCCAACTTTTTTTTTTTTTTTACTTGTCAATGGAACTTTATTTATTTATATGCGCTGTTGAGGATGGAACCCAGTGCCTCATACAAGCTAGGCAAGCACTCTACCTCTGAGCCACAAACCCAGCCCATTTTAAAAATCACAAGACTGAAGCAGAAACTATGGCTATTGTGAAAATAGGTGAGAAATCTGGAAGTTAGCACTTACAGGTTCTTATTCAGGAATCTCATTTAAATTCCTGAGAGAAGAGAAAGGAGATCAAGGGAGGGTGGAAGTAAAGGAGGGCAGTGAGGGGTGATGAACGTGTGTTATATGTATGTACAAATATGCCATGATGAAAGAAACAAAAAATCCCAAGTACACCATGTGAGAGATGAGAGAGTTTTTTCAGACAGAAGCTGAAAAACGATGAAGAGATAAAAACGTGCAACACGGAACACCCTCAAGTGGTGTTTCTTCTAGCATTGGAACCTTTTTAAATCTCACAATTTCAAGGTAGTCCTCAAAAAAAAAATTTATTTTCCATTTAACAACTGATGAAGAGGTTTCAACTTCCCACACTTGTCATTTCTTCACATAAAAACCATTCTACTTCAGGGAGAATATTTTTTTAAAAAACCTGAGAAGTTATCTTCTTCCTCTTCCTTTTTCTCTGCATGCTCTTTCCCTCCTTTCTCTCCTCTTCCTGAACGAGTTGGTTCTAAAGCCATTGGGTGGGACGAGTGAGGCTTGTGCCTGTGGTGGGTGAGGTGGGGGTTTGGTTCTGTAAAGCCCCAGGGTGGGGTGCAGGAGTCTGAAGGGCAACCTAGCTCAAGCCTCAGGGCCCCAGTGGAGGCCATCCTCATGGAAAGACTGACATGGACTGAGAAGGGAGAGAATGACCAGATGCTATGGTCTGAACATGTCCCCCAACCGTGTTAGAAATTTAATCCTAATTCATATATTGACGACATACTATGACTGCATGATGAATATACTGATGGATTTGGAGGTGGGCTTTGGGAAGTAATTTTAGATGGGGTCAGGAGGCTGGGGGTCCCAGCGATCACATTAGTGTTTTTATGAGACGATAAAAGAGACCTGAGCATACACACTGGTTCCATCTCACCTGGTGATGTCCTCTGCCATGTTGTAATACAGCAAGAAGGCCCTCGCCTGACACCAGCACTTTAACATTGAGCTTCCCAGTCTCCAGAATGGTAAGAAATAAATTTCTTTATAAATTACCAGACTTGAGTTATTCTATCATAAAAGCAGAAAACTAAGATACCGTGTGTAGGGGGAAGGAAAAAAAAACAGAAACAGCATGATGTCTGATGAAATTTGAATTTCAGATAAACAATGAATAATTTTTTTTTGTATAAATATGTTTCAAATCTCACTGCGCTACTTGTTGTTTATTTGAAATCCAAGCTTAAGTGGGCATCCTGTATTTTCCTGAGAATTCCACGAGGAGGGCATTCACATAGAGGGCGACCTGGAGTGGAGTGCTGAGTTGAGGTGGCTGAGGAAGGCATCTGGGAGGCAGGCAGAGGTGACCCCTATGGGGAGGAGCACGAGCAGAAAAGCCAACGCCTGAGCACAGGAGATGGCTTGCAGGGGTGTGAGATTTCCGGAGTGCAAACTTGGTGGCCTAAAACAACAGAAATGTGTTCTCTCTGAGCTCTGGAGGGCGGAAGTCTGAAATCAAGTTACCTGGAAGCCTGAAATCAAGTTATCTGCAGGTTGTGCTTGCTACCTCTGAAGTCTCCAGGGGAGAATTCATCCCATCTTCTGGTGGCTCCAGGCATCCCCTGGGTTGTGGCGGTAGATTTTCAGTTTCTGCTTCTGTTGTTGCATAATCTTCTCCTTTCTCTGTGTGTCTCTTTATAAGGGCACTTGTCATTGGATTTAGGATCAGCCTGGATAATCCAGGATGATCATTTCCATCTCAAGATCCTTAATTTAATCCGGTAAAGTCCAGCAGCATCACTCTGGGTAGCGTCACTCTGCCTACCAATCCTTTCTTTGCACCTGAATTTCTTCAACCCCAGGTGTTGCCCAATCTGGCTGGAGCCCCTCCCCCGCCCAGTGTAAATTGTCTTGGGTGGTTTACTCACACCTCTGCACCTCTGCACGTCTAGCACCACCTCCTCCAGTCCAGCTTCTGCTCATTCTGCAACTCCCAGTTCCTTTGGGCTGGTGGCCCCCAGAGACCACCTCCTGAATCCCAGCACGAACATTCATCACACACTGTGGGCACTGCATATGTGTTGAGTGAACGTTGTTATCACATTACAAGCAAATTGAGAGCATGACTGATGCTGCTTTCTAAACCAGGGCAGTACAGCAGTTGAGGGGAGATATACAGCAAGAACAAAAAGATGAGCTGGGGCACGGTGGCGCTTGCCTGTAATCTCAGCAGCTCGGGAGGCTGGGGTAGGGGGATCACAAGTTCAAAGCCAGCCTCAGCCAAAGCCAAGCGTTAAGCAACTCAGTGAGACCCTGTCCCAAAATAAAATACAAAATAGGGCAGGGGATGTGGCTCAGTAGGCAAGAGCCCCTGAGTTCAATCATCAGTAGCCCCCCCCCCCAAAAAAAGAAAAAGTCCAGGAGGAGCATTTTCCAGCATTCCCTGTTTCCTTAGTTTAGAGCAACACCAGTTCACCTTCCTGCTGTGGTCTGAATGATTGTGCCCTCCCCGCCTCCTAAACACTCCTCAT